CACACACAACAACTCACACACACCCCACACACACCCCCTCACAAGCACACCACACACACACACCGACTCACGCACACCACACACTCAGCTGCATCCCTGTGCCTCCCCTCATCAACATCACAGTTGGCCTGTTAATTGTTCGCACTCCCAAGTGTATCAGTCTGAGAGGTTGTGGCTAATGTGTTCATGCACACACTCCCCACAGTCGGAGGAAAATATGGGCCTGGGATCTCCCCCCCCTCCTTCATCAGTCCCCCTTTATCAGAAAGTGGCCTCCCTGTCCCTTGATGACCCCCTTCTCCCCCATTGCCGTTTCGGTCCGCGTAACCCTGGGAGATACCAGCGGCCCTGGCTGAGCTATGAAGGAAGGCGGGGCCCCGGGTGACCCCACTGCACACACTGCACACACTGCCACACTGCACTGGGTGCGCCGAGGCCAGCGCTGTCACACCTGGGGCTCCAGAGTCATTGGGCTCTGGCCATCTGGCATGTGGCTATGTGCATGTGTGTTGGGCAGGAAGGTACAGCTGTGGAGACGGGACTGACATGGAGAGGTGTTAGGTGTGGATTAAAACACATCCTGTCATCCTTTTATGTCTAAAGGTGTAGCAGTATTTATCTCTGAAGGAATCATGCTATGATTTATGTCAGGTCTCCATCACTGCAGATGCACACACTAAGAGCTGAATCTAAACATATACACAAATCTCATTTTAGAATCCACACACACACAGGCACGGATGTCATCCCTACCTTTATTTATATTTATATATATATAAAAATAACAACTTATTTACAGTGACAATAAATACTGACGTTTTATACAGGCAAAATAAGTTACCAAACAACATAATCCTGTAAAACTCAAGCAGACAAATTATGTGACAGCTTTTCAAATGTGTTCAAATGATAAGTATAAAAACAAAATTAAAGCTGTGGAGTGTAAACAACATTTAAAAAGATGCACGTGTCTGGGTGGGGGCGTGGGGGGGCCTGGCTCGGAGTAAGGGATTCCCCAAGGTTTCCGGACATCAGTCCATTGTCTGAGGAGTTTCCTCAGCAGATGAATGACAGATGGATGGATTCATTTTACGAAGCTCCGGGGCCAACGCATGCAAAGCAAAGGCTTTAGCGTCACAGCAAATTAAGTAAACCCTAAATACATGATCTGTATGTTACACATCACTAATCTGTAGGGGTAGCGATGAAATAAAACAGCACTGATTTAGCCTATAGACCGGTAGATAACAAGGTGTGTCCTAATCTCGTCTAGCTGTCTGTGAGTAGGAGAGGCACCGGCTGGATTATGTTTTGGGTTCAGGGAGGATTTTGGAGATTTACAATCAGAAAGAAAAAGTGTGGGAAAAAAAATCAGGCAGAGAGAAATAAACACTTGCAGTCGTCTTTGGCTTTTCCCCCGGTGAAGAGGTGCAGCCTGGGGGAACAGGGCGTGACGTTATTTTCCAGTTCAAAGCCTGATCAGATCTCAGTCCGGCCTTTGGGGAAGCGCAGTGTACCTCTTCACCTGGAATCTTCATCAAAATTCACACCTTCTTCTTCTTCAAGAAGAGAAATCAGAGTCGGCGTGCGAGCCCAGCTTCACACGGCTCTCCGTCAGGGTTGTGGTGGGTGCAGGGGTAACATCTGCAAGGAACGGGACAGCGCGAGAGAGAGGGTGGGGCGACGGTTAGCGAGAGACGCCCCCTATGCACGGCCGAGGGATACAGCGACTCTGCGGAGGGCCCGGCTGTACCTGCGCCGCCGATCGTCTGGCTCCGTCCGCCTGTGCGCCCGTAGGGGTGCAGCGCCCTCTCTGATGCTCCCTAGCGTCACAGGTGAGGGCACAGTAACACCCGCCCACCCACGACACACAAAGCTGTCCACTATGGCACACGGACCCCGTGTAACTGAGAGCGAGACGTCGGCTGTGATTGTGGCAGTATTAAACTTCTCCAGCCCTTGAACGTGTCAAAATACATCATTTAAGATCATCGACGCTCTCGCCGGATATTAAGACAGAGTCTGTGTGGTTTCACCACCTCATTCTGCTCCTGGCCTCAGAAAAGGGCAACTCTGTGCAGGTTAACGGCGAGTAGAGGGCACCACGACGCACCCCTGGGTGTTCATTCATACGGTTAGAGAGCTTTAAAGCCGTAAATTATTACTGCCGCAGTCTCATACATAAATAAAGTAGCAGTTTGAAAAAAAATGTCATAATTAACAATATCACAATATATTATTTTCACAGGAGCAATACACAAGCAAGACGGTGTTGAAAAAAGTACAAACAGTTTGTATGTCCATGAGCTATCCTTCATTTGCTTTGTGGCATTCAGGTCCTTCTGTGCGCTCTCTCTCTATCGCTCCAATTGTCCTGAAGTTCATCCCCCGACAGAAGAATATGACTGTCATCTTATTTTCAGTCTGTAGTTCATGCCTGTCTCTATCTCTCTCCTTCTTTTTCACTCTCTCAGAAAACAACCAGTTTAGGAGACCGGTTAAGTCCAGAGGAAAAAAAGACAGATTCTCCAAAACATATATACGGGTTTTCCATTGACATGCAGTCCGTGTCACTGAACCGGTGTGGCGCTGCCTGGAATGACTCACCGACATGAAGTGTAAAGTACCAGATCTTTTAAGCTCAGAAACATCCGCTTTCTCGATCGGCATGCTTGCGGTCTTCTAGCATAAATACAGAGGTTTTAAATACAACATGTACACTGTCCAAGAGATTTCGGAGCAAAATAACGCGAATGTAACACAAGGTGCTAAAGCGGAGGGGAGCGCGGAGTTCATGGGCAAAATTCCGGGGATGTGATCCCAATGGGGGGGGGGATCAGATGAGAGAGAGCAGCACTGGGTCTGGTAAGAGGGGGCCATATCGAGAGAGAGGATTCTGCACAGGGAGGGAGGTAGCTGAATCGAACCACTGCCGTCACCGCTGGTCTCGGTCCCGCGCTCGGCTACACGGAGGACTCCTCGGGGTTGGCGTCCGGCAGCACGCTCCTCTGCTGTAGGGTGCGGAGCAGCTCCTCCTTGAAGGGGCTTGTGTAGTCATTCCCCAGGCTGCCCCCGGCGCCCAGCCCTCCGCCCCCCGCCCCGCCCCCGCCGGCCCGCTCCTCTCCGGCCGCGCTCATGTTGAGCCGGATGTATCCGTTGCTGCCAGAGCCGCGGATGTTAGTGAGGCTCAGTCGGCTCGGTGAGTGAATGGGCTGCCCGGGGATGGTGCTGGGGGGGGCCGAGCTGCCCCCGGGGCACAGCGCGTGGCCGGGTACGATCTTCAGCGAGCCGTCCGAGTAGTAATAGTTGCCCCCTGTCTCCCAGAAGCGATCCTCGTCGCCGGACATCTTGCTGGGCACGAAGGTGGGCGGTTCCTTGGGCAGGGTGATGGGGTAGACCAGCGTGCTCTCCAGGGGCTTCATCTCGGCGCCCTTGCCCAGGGCCAGCTTGAGGCGCCGCCGCAGGTACAGGGCCACGCCCATCAGCAGCAGGCAGGCGGCCCCCAGAGTGATGACCAGCACCCAGAAGAGCCCCATGCTGGCGTCGGGGGCCCGCGCCTTCATGACCACAGGGGCGCTGGCCACCACCGTCACCTGGAAGCGCTCTGTCTGGAAGCGTACGCCCTGCTCCTCCGAGTAGCAGGTGTAGCGGCCCGCCTGCATGGGCCCAGCATCGGGGATGACCAGAGCACGCAGGGCCCTGTCGAAGCGGGCCCCCACGGCCCCCTCGGGGCTCAGCACCAGCTCCCGCTCGTTCAGCAGCCAGGATGGCTGCGCCAGATTGGACACCAGCTGGCAGGGCAGCACCAGGTCAGATCCCACCACCACGGTGACGTTCCGTAGCACCGAGTGTTCTGGGAAAAGGGGGGAGGGGGGGTGTGTCAGTTTACATCCTGGTGTTTAACTGCAGCCTCCAGGCTGAAGCTACCTACAGCACATCAGGGAGATTGAGTGCTGACGGGGTCTGTGGTTCTAACGCAGGACAATGCCATACTGTTCTGTGCTGTTCTATGCTGTTCTATGTTGCTCCACCCTGGCACTTACCTGGGCTGGGAATGGAAACTGGCTTTTCAAACTTGGCATTGCCCCGGCTGAACCTGTCCAGCAGGAGGTCCTGTATAAGTGTTGAAGTGGACCTGGGATGGGGGCAGAAAACGAATGTGGTCACTGTACCAGTGAAAACAGCAGGCGGTGTTGGGTGGGGAGCTGGCAGAAGCTGGCGGGAGCGACTCACCCGCGATGCTGGTCCACGCGGACGCAGGTCCGCCCCTCGTTGTCCCAGGCACAGTAGGGGTCGCGGGACAAAAGGCAGTCTGGGCTAGACTGATAGCGACTGCAGTTGGCCAGAGGGAGCTGAAGAACTTCTGTTCTGGAGCCAACATAGAGGGATTTCTACAGAGACAGAGAGAGAAGGTCAGACTGTGAACGAGCTTTATGGGATGTATAAACATATAGGAACATCTACAAGGAAGGAAGACCAGACAGACGGGTGGATCAGGCAGGTGTACAAAGGAATTTACCGTCAAGTGTGATATTGTGAGGCTGTCCACAGGCTGTGGAGATTCAAAAAGCTGGATTTCCTCAATGACATGGGCCTCAGAGCCCAGGATAACCGCCCTCTGCAGCCAGCCGTGAGCTGAGCAAGAAGGCAGCGAGAAGGAGAAGGCAAGATCATTGTTATGGAAACAGGCATGACAGGGTCACGTGATGCGACTGCTAATGGTGGCAGTGAGCACAGGGAGGGCGACCCTCCCCTGGGGCCGAGCGGACCGGTGTCAGAAGCCCCCATCGCCAACGGACTGGAACCAGCTTTGGCGTGCAGTTGATTCTGTGACCGTTTGACTCCGTCCCCCCCCCCCCTCGGTTTTTCCCTGGGCGGTCGTTGACTAATTAGGCTCGCTGAAGGGGCGATAAACGGCTCTCCGGTGCGGGCCTGCGGCGTTTCGCTTGCCAGAGGACAGCAGCCCGCGCCGGAATTACCGCAATGTCAGAGTAACCTACTGCTACTCAGCATCACTCACATCCATGGAGACGCAACTCAGCTGACAGTGCAGCGCTGACATATGATGGCAGCGGCTGTAAACCACACGCCAAGGGTGAGGGCTGCGTAAACACGCGTGTCTGAATCACACACTGCAGATATTGCTTCCTCTATGCCTGGGAGTCCGCCAGTGACAGGGGGGCCTTACCTGTGCCAATAAACAGCACGCTGTACACCCTCTGGTCCAGAGCGATGACCTGGTCTACAGCCAGCTGTGTGAAGTTTATGCCCTTGGTGAGCAGCAGGGGGCGTGCCTGAGCCTGCTCCTCCATCAGCGGGTGCTTCTTGGCGAAGCTGAGGGTGGCGTCTGGCAGCTGCAGAGAGCTGTTGTAGCCATTCTCCCGGTGCCAGCGGGTAATGCACTGCGGGGCCGTGGTTCCAGGTTAGCCATGTTTACAGTTTACAGTCACTGCAGCAGCAAGCCACTAAGCCCCACCCTCTGGGCGTGTGCCCGACTCACCGCGCCCGGCCGTGGGCTCGGCACGGCCCCTGTGTAGCGGCCCCACCGCTGCGACGGCTCCCTCAGCTCCTTGTAGGCCCCCTCGAACACCTTCCTAACGTCGGCAATTCGGTACTGGCAAACCACCGACACGTCCACGTCGCCCCTGTCGGAGAGCGAGGTCGGTGCCGGTCAGCGCTGCGGGGGCCCGGGGCCACCTGACAGTCCGGCGCCCCAAGCGGGAGGCTGGCTCACCACTGCGCGTGGAAGATGCCGTAGAAGGCTGTGTTCCTCCAGTCAGGCTGGCTCACAGTATAGACGGTGCGCAGGTTGTTGAAGGTGACGTGCCGCTCGGGGAGGGAGCACATCAGCCGCGCCTTCTGGAACGTGGTCCACTTCTTCTGTAGAGTCCTAGTGCCACCGACGTCCCCCTGACAGGACACATAGGCGCACGTGAGGTCAGCGGCACAGCGACGGACTCGGCAGCTCCTCTGGGTGGCCGCACTCAGCACGAGCGCTAGCCCCCACCTTGCAAATTCGAGCCACACGGGCCACCGTCAGCTCGCTGTCACAGTCCAGCTCCTGGGCCCGCTCGCTGAAGAAGAAATAGATCTTGTCGTCATCTCCCTCGGGGCTCCCTCTGCTCTCCTCCACCAGGGCCGAGGCCACAAAGTCCGGCTCTTAGGGATGACACGAGAAAGGAAGTGAAGACCTAGACACTGGCAGCTTCTCTACATAAGTCCCTCCCCTTTTCCCTGGCCTCATTGTTGAGCCCTCCCCATCTAGGCCCCTCCCCTGTCAATTGACCCCGCCTCCCTTACAGGCCCCTCCCCTCACCACTGACCCCTCCCCCAGCAGACCCCTCCCCTCACCATTGAGCCAGGTTGGCAGGTGCTCGCTCTTCATGGTGTAGTGCTGCTGTCCCAGGCTCCTCAGTATGACTGGCTCCGTGCCCAGGAAGGTGTTGAGTGTGGCTGAGTACAGCTCCTTGTCTGAGAAATATGGGAGTATTGGAGAAGCTGAGCCAGCTTTGCCCTAAACCCCACTGCCCTTTCATACACAAATAGACTCACAAACATGCAGCAGGGCAGAGGCACTCACCGACTATCAGCCCTGTGTGTCCTTTGGCTGGGTCATAAGGGCACTTGCCCTTGCCATCCTCCAGGGCGGCGCTGTTAAGTGTGAAGCCTTCTGTGTTCTGTGGGGTGGGACAGAATAGAGGCAGAGGGTGGCTTAGCTGGTGAATACCCCCGGTGTGGAACAATCCAGAATGTGAGGGTAACACTTACAATGTAGGTACACTTGGGCTGGAAGGCATAGGTGCCACAGCTGTAGAGGTGCGTTTGGTTGTAGCTCTGCAGGAAGCGGATGTAGTTGAAGCACTCGGTCTGTGGATGGGGGAGAGGGGGTTAGATAAAGACCAGTATGAGGGGCCTTAATGCAGTGAGTGTCACTCCACTGAGGCCGCTTGCCGCAGTGCAGCCAGTGTGCAGTGCACTGTACCTGGTTGCTCTTGCCCTTGGAAACACACTCCCGCTTTTTCTCTGGCGGTGCTTGCCACTCAACCTGTCGGAGAAGCACAGAAACAGACTGTCAGAGCTCCCCTGGCAATCGCAAGGAAGCGCTCAAACCCCCCGCCCCCCCCCCCACCCCCCGAGCCAGATGAGAGGTACAGTGAGCCGCGGGCGTACCGGCGCTCTCAGCTGCCTGCTGATGTCGCTGGGGTCCAGGGCGAAGATGGCTTCCCTCGCCCCCACGTACAGCACCCTGTCGTGGTCTTCTAACCGGAGCAGGGTGTAGTTCCACCAGCCGGGAGCCCGGAACCGCGGCATGCTGTCGCACACATCTGACAGGGAATCGGAGAAGGTACAATCTTAATAAAAACAAATGGGCCCCGGGGCTGCGCTCCCAGACCTGACCAGCTGGAGGCGCTGGTGTGATGGTGGAAAGCGTGATTTGCTGATCGGTCACATGTTTCTGCAGACTTCCTGACTAAACAAAAACAACGGGAGCTGTGATGATGGGATGGGAGCCAAAGGAATACCAGCAGGGCAGGGCCGGGTCGGGGACTGGGGGCCACACTGCACACAGTAGGGCCCTCTCAGCCTTCTGGGGGCCACGCGGTACAGGAGAGGGTCGCTCACATGTTTGTGAGCCCCTGCTGTTGCGTCAAGCCCGTTTCGAGTGTAATTGAATGAGCCGGAAGCCACATTCGGGCCAAAAACTGACCTCTGGCCAAACATTAACTATCACTTTGAAATGACAGGATGTACATCATTAGTATCCTTCAATCAGAGAAGCGGTGGTCCTTGTGTGGGGGCACTCTGCTCGCTTTGAGAGGCAGCTGGCTACCCCTCAGGGCCAGATACATGCGAGAGGAGCCGTCCCGGAACATTCCAGCTGTGCCCGCCCGGTGAGAGCTGGCTCGGCCGCCAGCTGCGGGTTGGCATTTTACAGAGCCGCACCGCGGCGCCACATGTGGGTTAAAATGAGATGGCTGGCAAAAAGATGGAAGAGCGACTGTCAGAGAGAAAGGGAGCGAGAGGGAGAGAGAGAGTGACAGAGTGGAAAACCGTAGAGATGAGAAACGCTTTTCTCTGTCGGGGTCTGTAAGCGCGTCACCAGCCTGATTTTGCCAGGAGGAGTTGCAGACATTTTCCGTGACTGATCGCTGTCACCGAGGATCACGTGCTGTTCACAGAATGATCTGTAACAGGGGTGAACTGCAGATAGCAGCAGTGGAGGGGACAGGAAAAAGGCAGATGCACTGGTCACATAGGCACCTTCCTACAGGCCAGATGAAAGAGGGCAACGGCACTGTGTGCTTTTCAGACAAAGAAACGCAATCACCCTGCCTCGCCACATGGGGGCAGCACTGAGGCACATTTTCAGTCACTTTTTCCCAGTGGGTGGGTTCTTTTGTTTGTCTAACCACACTCTCCATCCCAACCCAAAAAGGTGAAGGTAGTGATTTAGCAAAATAAAACACTGATTGAAATGTAAACAAAAGAAAGCCTAAAAATAGTTTGGCTTGTGGGTGTAGCTGAAAGACAAATCAAATCACTGGGTGGCGTTTTCCCTTAGCTCTGGGCGCTCCTGTCAGCCCGTAGGACAGGGACGCTCTAGTAAACTCACGATGCTCTGAGACGTATGTGTTACGCTCCCCTGCAGCTCCCTCGCTCATCCGCAGACCCCCCAGGACACCAAAGGGGGCCTGTTCCACCCCGGAGCGCTGATGCCCTGCCTGTGTGCGATTCGGGCCGTTTCGCTGCTCTACTTGGAGACGCTCTTCTATAAATACAGCTGGGCTCTGGTTATAGCGCATGCCCGCAGTGTAACGTACAGGGCACTGTAATTAAAGCCCTATTTTGAGCACTTTGAAGGAACGGGGCAGGCTGAAGCATAATCTCTGAGATGAGGACGACCCACCTTCATCTGCAGCCACACTACCGATCAGACAGAACCAAGATCCGTGGCACACACACCGAAATGGCA